CTCCTCTCTCTCCCAATGTTGTTCATCGCAGTTGACACACCAAATCTTGTACACCAACATACGGAGTGTGGGGAGACAATAATAGCGCAACAACTTGATTTATACTACTCGTCTGTAGTTTGTCTTAATCTTATGTATAGGCACCATTTGCGCGCCAAGAATCAGTAAACCGGAACTGGAACAATTTGTTGGACAATATAAACAGCAGGAAACAGGCGAGTTACTGCTTATTCCTTCGACAATATCAATCAACCAATGAATGCTTTTCTTAGTTTTTAGCCAAACAATAAAAAAAAGCAAGACATTCATCGCTCTTAAAATAACTAGAAAACCTGTCCAACAGGTTAAACAACCTAAAAATAGCACATGACCGTACTTAACGAGATTCCCCCGCATTCTATTTATAGACTAAAGACAAAAGTGAATGACGTTATCGGCGTTCCTGCCGTCTTTAATGAGATTCCTGTTCAAAAAGGAATAACCGGTCTTACTATACTACTTGTGCTCCATGCGACAGTGTGTTTGACGTTATTTTCTTCAACACAATGTATAATTAGACAGTTATTAGTTTTAGTTTTTATGATATCCGGAACAATCAAGGTCAAGGTAAGTAGTAACACTTACTAAGACCTTGATTGTGCATCACAATAGTCGTGTCAATATAAGAATATAAAGGCCCTTTATTTGCTTTACTCATAACAGCCATTTAAACAATTACAAAAAAAAAAACGATTTAAAACCAAAACGCGGCCAACCCTGGCTATATCCTCAGCTCCCCTTGACAACCTCGTCTCTTTTCTTCCCTCAAACATAATAGTGGCACGTTGGGAAAGTCCATCTGTAGAAGAACTCGAGTCCATCAGCAAGCATTCGGACCCATCTCAAGGTAAATAGTTGGTCTCCGATAGTCAAACCGCGGTGATGATTTCTAAAGCGGTTCAAAGTCAGTTTTCAGCTATTTTGCCCAGTGTGATTCGCGAACTTACACTTGCAAAGGCAAGCCACGAGCAGCCAAGATCTGCGCAAACTTCCCGGTTAGTCGCTGGGTCAAAAAAAAAGGGCTTGAGTAAAACTTTGACTCCCCAGTCAGCCGCCGGGTCAACACAAGGCTCAAATTATGATTGTTTAGAGGTTACTGAAGCGCCTTCAAAGAAAGCTAAGTCGTCAACAGCTGAAAACGATGACTGTAAAGACGACCTCACCATTCCTGCTGGTTGCTGGGAACTTTCTGGCCTTTTGAACGTTTTGTTCCCGTGAGACCAAAGGCAAATTACCAAAGATTTTTCCCATGCAGCAGGCGAGAATTTACCGTGTCTGGTTGCCCTCTAAAATCTTTCCGAAATACGGTAATGCTGTAGAAAGGGAGAAAACAATAGCGAATAGATTACGGAGGGCAACCAAGCGCGGTAAATTCTCGCGTGCTGCACAGGTATGTGGTGTAATGCTAAACTCGAGACAATGCGAAATCCCAGAGCAAAAACTTAGCTAGATCTATGACATCTCTTCAATATATGCTCAATTTTGCGCCTACGTTAGACAACTTAAGTTTTCAATCGAAACGAAATTCGGGGATTTTATAGTACACTGATCAACTGCAGCACTGAATGTTTTAAAAGAAAATCTATCGAGGAATAGACCTTTTTACCGATACGGCGGCCAATTGAATTAATTCGATTTAAGGAGTATTATAGGATGTCCAGGGGGCATGAGCACATTTTGTTTGTATTTTCGAGCGCTTTTCGGGACATTTTTTCTTAAAGTTTTCTCAGAATAAGATTGTAATGGGAAGAAAGATACTTGTGCCGTGTTTGGATGTAATAATGATCGTCTTTTTCTAGTTTAGTATTAGAAATATGGTCTTTCACTGTGTATTTCTCGAGAAAAAGGCGATCATTATTACATCCAAACACGGCACAAGGATTTTTTTTCTCATTACAATCTTATTCTAAGAAAACTTTACGAAAAAAGGTCCCGAAAAGCGCTCGAAAATACAAACGAAATGTGCTCATGCCCCCTGGGCATCCTATAATACTCCTTAAATCGAATCAATTCAATATGGCCACCGTATCGGTAAAAAGGTCTATTGTGGTTTAACCGCTGTTTTCGTGAAAGTAGCCTCAGAAATTACGAAAAGGGCTCAGCATTGCGTTTTACTGATTTTCATGTTTTTTTCGAAATCGCGCAAGTCTAATTGTGTTTAACCGGTTGTAGAGTGCATAAAGGTCATTTGCAAAACGAATGAGTGATAAAAACGTTTCGGACACATCCAAAAAGGAGCAAATTTGTCTACATTAAGTCCAGTCTTCAGCTCATGCATAATTCCCTTTTTGTAGAAATTCAAAGATATCTCGAAATTCCTGTTATAGATTTTCGTGAAACTTCGCACGACAGGAGGCAGCACACGTAGCATAAATCATTTCCAAAGAAAATGCCGATAACGGCAGAAATTCGATTTAGAGCTAAAACTATTTTGACCTCATTGTCACGTGATATTTACTCCCATCGCCAAAAAACTAATATCATAATAAAGTTTAGTTGTGTTTACAATACAGATGAATCTGTTTAAGTATAAGAGATTCAAAAATGGAAAGTGTACCTTCAAAAACACTAAGTCAAGCCACCTTAATGGCCCATGATTTACGCTTCCCTCGTTTTCACCCCGAAGGTGTTTCTTTTAACCTTCCAGCGTTGACTTAATGAGTTCCTGTTGGTAAATCTCTTAAAACCTCCTTTCATGCAAATTTTCCAGAGAATGAATTAATTTCTCTGTCCATGCGCATGTCTTAAAGAATATGAACTGCGTACCAAAGCCTGCAGGCCAACAACTGCCTCTGAACCAAACAAGTTGTTCCTCTCAGTTAATAACCCACACAAGCCACTTAGGTCAGCTACCCTTTCCTACTGGGTAAAGAACTGTCTTTTACAGGTAGAGGTCAATACGCAAGTGTTTAAAGCTCACTCTATCCGTGGAGTCTCTACTTTTGCAGCAGCTAGAGTAGGCATTTCTATCCCAGAAATAATTCAGTTAGCTGATTGGACAACCAAGGCCACCTTTAAGAGACTCTTCTATCGTTCGGTGTGGAATCTTAGTTTTGGCTGCTCTGTTTAAAACAGCACTGCAGTTGAGTTGTAAGACTTTAAACAGTACATGGGTGTATTGAGACGACTATTATGATGAACAATTTAGGATTATGCAAGAGCTGCTTGCAGTCTCTTGAAGAAGCATAATTGTGTGAATAATAGGAGGCGAGGTATAACAATGTAATTCCCGCCCTCCATCTTCCCATTTGTTTATACTAACAGTTACTGATCCCTTTCCCTTTCAGGTTGTTAGCCACCATTTCATTCACTCCGCAAAATGAAGAGGTTGTCATGGGGCGCCTGAGGATATGATCAGGGATGACCTCGTTTTGCTTTGAAACCGTTGTTTGTTTGTAATTCTTTAAATAATTGCCATGAGAGAAGCAAATAAAGGGCATTTACATTGTTATCATGAGACGAATATTATGATGTACAATTATGCTTGCACAGCAGGCTGCAAGCAGCCCTTGTATAATCCTGAATTCTTTCGGGTATCACATGTCATTATTGTTTAGATATTGTATGACTGTCCCAAAGGTATTTGTCCACGATTGTAGGTTTTGAATGACACGTCCGACAGTATTACAGGTTAGTCACTTTAGAAACTGCAACCCCCAAGCCTCTCTCCTTTTCTTTCCCTTTCCAGTCCTACCCAAGCGCATTTATATCCCTTCCTCAGCCTCCTCGTACCACAAAGGAGGCGCTGCACAGAAGAGAAAGAAAAAGCACTCTCGAGATGCTTTTTCAGTGGGCCACACGTTTTCCATTAAATTCGAAAGTTTGGGCTGGATTTTCGTCTGAGCCCGCGGATGATCTGAGTAGAAACAGACAGGCAACAGCCCCAGCCAAGTCGGTAACTTGAGAATCTATGACTTACAGCCCTTTAGATTAGGCAACTGCGAGGCATTTGCGCGCCTTGTCAGTCCCGGGAATCGGCATTTAAGCAGCTTTTGAGCGACCCGGGGGTTGGGCATTTGCCAACCCGGGGCTACTCCAGGGCCGTTCACACGCATATGACTCGAAACTTAAACATAACTTAACATGGAGGAATTAACAGGAAAAGACAAGCAGACTGGCTCGTTTTTTAGGGACTAGAAAACGTGTAGAGGTTTTAATTGGTACTTTTTCTCCATTTTATGCATTTCTTCACTTCTTATCAAGCCAAAGTTAACCAGCGATACACGTAAGTCTTGATCTTGTCTTGATCAGGGATTTGAATATAATTAAGTAACGATAACGTTCAAATCAGCTTATTTTACAGCAGTGGAAATCATGTAGTGGTGTCTTCGTTGACGTCATTAAGTTAAGATTAGTTGGTTAACAAAGTGTTAAAAGACGGACAGGCAGACGCCCAGAAACAAACAATCCTTCATTAAAATGCTGAAAGTGGAACTACTCTACTGGGCAATGAATGCGAATTGCTGCAGTCCGGTGGGTTTGATACCAGGGAGTGGGGCATTTGCCCTTCTATCTGCCACGGGGGTATTTCACTGCTTAGTGTTCCTGCCCCGGGAATTTGCCAGCCACGAAGAAAAAACTGCCAATGTTCGGGGGTTAGCGCAGGGGACATGGGCGCTGCTGGAATTGACTGATACATATCTTTGATATCAACGGAGACCTTGCAGTTTATAAAGATTTGTTCCGTTTTACGACTCATTGTTGGATAGTATTTAGATTATTTTTATAAACTTAAAATTTTGGCAAAAAATTCTCAAGGCTCTTCACTGTTTTTCCAGTGAAAACCGTGACGAAGATGGAAACTGACAAAAGTTTGATCGTCGCGCAATGCTTCAAATTCAATTATAGCCCCTACTATAAACTAGGGAGTAATCAGGGAAAAAGGCTTTATAAAGAAAATGCCCTAAAATACCTCTGTCAATGTGCATATTAAAAACCGCAAAGCAACATTTTTTTTTACCTGATGACGAGTAACCACGATCAGTTTCACCTCCTGAAGCATCTGGGATAGTTATCTGGTATAGTCACAAAATGATAGAACCAACAGTTTGGCTTAAAAGTTATAGTGCTTAAACATCAGGGCCGAGTTGTTCAAAGCTGGGTTAAGATAACCCAGGGTTAGAGCGAGATTTGAATTAAGATTTGAAAGCTTAAGCATTTCAGTTTTAAGTCTTTTTGTCTAAGAGTTGATGATTGGAAGCTGTTAAAATAACAGAGAAAATTATCCGAGAAAATGCTTTTGAACACAAGAAAAGGAAACCGGGGTTAAATTTAACAATGAGTTAAGCGCTAATCGGCCCTCGAACAACTGGGCCCAGGTCGTTAAATTTGTAACTAGTAGTGATAACAGCAAAACGAATAGCACCCTTATTCGCTATATTCATTTATTTGAGTTGGAAAAAAAATATTGAAATTAACAAAAGCAGAATAGAAACCTTTTTGTTTTAGGTCAGATCGTTTATAGTACATGGTGGAGAATTGAGTGGGTTACTTCATACATTTATAGCCCAGTTATAAAGGCCTACATTAATGAAAAAGATCGATAATCTCATTCTTATTGCTATGGTAACAAATAATGGACGGAAGTCAAACCTACCTTCAGTAGGAAACTTCCTTACGTACAAAATGTAAAAACAAAGACACACCAAATCCTTCTAAACACTAATAACGTGATTTTGGACAAGCTTTTCGTTACACGTAAGCTTTGCTCTACGTTTACAAGGCGCCATTTTGGGCACTTAACGAAAATTCTGGGTTTGGATTCCCTGGATTTACAGGTTAAGAAGTTTGGGCTCCCTATAATTATTTTTGTTACAGAGCTCGGTGCACTTCTTGTACTTTCACTTACAGGAAATTCAGGAGAGACGTCCGTGGCTGTGCTAAACAACTGATCTGAATTTGTCAAATCTTCCGGCAACACACCCCGTACATCCTACCAAAGAGGTAATTTTGTTAACTTCACACTGGTGACAAATTAGTTATTATAAAAGATTGAAGTAACATTTATTACTAAAACTAGATCAGACAAACTGATTATGCATGCGAGGTTCCAAAAACAACTATCCCAAAACGAACTTGTCGCTTACAAACCGATCACCAGTATACAAAGACTGCTAGCGGACGTTATAGACAAGGACAGACCGTCGACCGACACAGACCAAAAACTAAGACTACCAGGCCACTTACATTGGTGAGACTGGCAGAAACCTTAACACAGGACCGACATAAAAAAACGAGCGAAAAGAAATGGTCAGGCTAAAAATAAAATTGCTCATAGATTGACATTTAGTACAGTCAAACCACCGTATCCACTGGAACTCTGCTGAATGAATTACGTAGAGGTACTCTACTGACTACAACCAACGACTCACTTTTGGTTTGCTTACATTCGAAGAAGAAACGCATATGAACTCTTCAGTCAGCAGTTACCGGCACCACACAGACGACTTATTGACGATCTCAAACAAAACTTACCATGAAAAACCGATAATATGGCCCACAGTACAGCGACAACTGGGATATAACAATGAAAAAGGACGGACCAAAGCGAGCCACGAACGTTTAGATACTTCTTGGGCTAACGACAAATAACAACAACGCTTAACTAACAAGCGATCAATAACATTACGATTTAACATCACGACCAATCAATTCGATAATAAAAAATAATACCATCAACTGACACTATACAACTCAGTTACAACTCAGTTAACAACAGTCCTAACTACAACTTAAACCTATGTCATGTCAGGATAATTGAATATACCTTCAAATCGAAGGGGGACTCCTTATCCATGTCAAAAAAATCTAAGCCTTTTAAGTGGTAGAAGTTGAGTGGATCCATTGGATCATACTGGTAATCAGGATTGTTTCCGCCCGGTGCTGAAACTGGAGAAATAAAAGTAAATTAATAAAAGCAAGGAACTCGTCCCAAAAAGCTCAGAAGTGTTTACAGCTTACAAGTAAAGGAAATGCCACTAACTTTACTATTTTGCTACAAACTCGGGTTATTTGATTCTTTTGTGGGAGATCACGATACAAGAGTACATTGGCTATGAGTCTTTCTACACCACGAGTGTTTCTTAACCCTCTAACTGAAAATTGTTGCAAAAATAAAGACGAACCAGTTTAATAAAGAGCCAAATCTTGGGTGATGCATGTGCAAGTAAATTAATACAGCCCTTCACAACACTTTGCAAGTAAGTGGCATCGAACCGGCCGCTGAATTTGCTCATTCACCTTAGTTTTTGTTACAGGCCCACTTAAATAAACCACCACAAGGAAGTAAAACGTTTGAAAAATAAAATTTATCTCTTGCATTACACCACGCGAAATACAACAATTTATTACCACGTCGGCTGATAGCTGATCAGTTTCCCCACTCGTTCTCATCTCTTCATGATAAAAGCTAGGGAGAACCTCAGGCAGTCGGAATGGGGGATTTGAAACTTTTTTACAGACGATTTGTAGCACTAACAGCACAATTATAGAATTGTAGAGGTTGCACATATATTTTGTGCTGATAGAAAACCGAAGGAGATGCCAATGCGGCGACTTTACTAATATCTCGCACTGTAACACTAGGAATCGGATAATTATAGCGGAGCACCATAACTAAGATAAACTACCCATCCGAGAAATTTTGGTTATGACGTCAGCGTACGTCCGTCCGTACGGACTTTCCGGGTAGTGGAAAGTAGTCCGCATGGACTCTTGGGGAAGGGGAAAGTAGAGATTTTTTTGGCGGGAAATCGTATGGCGCAACGTCGCGCAATTATATCGAGCAACTGGTTTTGAAAAAAGAAATTTCAAAGCAACTTAGCAAAAAGATTTTTCGACAGAGCCTTTATAACTTTTTATTACAACTTACGAAAGCTATTATGTCAAAAAACAACAGCAGAGAGATTTTAGCGTGTAGACGACAGGTTTTAAGCAGAGAACAAGAGTCAACACGCGTAGAACAAGGGAAGACGATCGCCAAAGAGAGCGCGTTAGAAGTAGAAGAAGAAGACAAAATTTTAGCGAAGAAAGTCGGCAAGTAGAAAGAGTCAGAGCGAGAAGAAGGAGAGAAAATTATAGTGAAAAACGCCGGCAAGCAGAACGAGACAGAGCTAGAATGAACAGACAAAGGCAACGCGAAAGAGAAATACAAAGGCAAAGAGAACGGCAGCAAAATAATGACATGATGACAGAAAGCGTTGTGTTAATGTCACTATGGCCCCGCGTTATTAACATTTTGATTTCAAACTGATCTCGGACGCGAAAATTCAGCCAGTGATTTAAAAATACAAGCAGGGAAGACAGAGGCTTTTCACTTTTCTCACCATAGTCACGCGTTGATCACGCTCTACGACCGTCCAATTTTTATGCTCTGATTGGTCAAAATTTGACAGGTGAGTTCATGCAGAAAATTTATACAGCATCTTGAACCTTGTTTACTTTGACAGCTGAAGCCGACAGAGTATTTTGTCAACTTGTGATGTTTTTTATTGTCTTTTTCCACTGGGTGCTTAAAATGAAATACAGCTGCTATCAACAGTCTTCTTTGATTCATGGCTGGTTTGTTTATTGAATTTTTGGTTGGGAAATGCGCCGGTTGTCAAAGTTGGAAATCCGATTTCGGATGCATCGTTTTCGTTTTTCACCTTGCTGGATGCGGGGTTGAAAAGTCCCTCAAGCGATTCTGGCCTTACTTGATAGCTTTCAAGAGCTGCATCTCGAAAGGTAAGCCTGAGTAATTATTGTATACAGTGTATGTTTGTTTTTTTATATCTAATTTCATGAAGTCGAGCGCAGTTTATGAGGCTAATTTATGCACGTTTGTATTAAGATCTGAGACAATGATCTGATCTAGTATATATAACCTTACAGAGCTTTAAAAAGCCTTTAGTCGATATTTTCTTTCCGGATGTAGAATGAAAAAACGTTCCGAAGAGTATTTAGTTATAATTTTGGCTGTAGAAAGAAAGCTTTGAGCGATTTTCTTGCCTCGAGTTCATCTCTGAAAACAGTAAACACCAGGAAGCCGGCTAAAAGCTTTAGGCTTAAGCGTAAAGACTCAGGATTTTTAGAGACGCTTTAATACTTGTCTTCGTGAATGTAAATTGTTGTCTCTGTAAATGTTTCACCGAATTACATTTCTTTTATTGATTGTTAGTAGTCTCTTGCAATTTTAATCGCTTTGCTGTTTGTTTTCAGTCGTTCATAGACAACGCTTGCAGGAGTACTCAAAATGCCGCGCGTATCAAACGGTTTTTAAGATTACACATCGTTATAAAACCATTAAATAAAAAAAATAAACAATAAATTCTTTATTATGTTGAAGCGTAACTCTTTTAATGTTCACTGAAAATTTGGCGTTTGTCAAAAGTGACAACCGGCTGGCCGTCTAGGTTATTTTTGGAAATTTTTTGAACGGTTTTGCTAAAAGCCCACGCGTGCTTCGTACGGTTCTGAATATTGAATGAGTGCAATTTGTCTTGAAAAATTGTGAAATACTGCATTTTATCTGAGGTCTGTATGATAAAAACAGCGCCTCATATTACTGTTTCACCTAGATGTGATGCATAAAAAGTATGAAATGTTGGTTTACACGCTCCCAGAGTTGTTGCCAAGATTTTGTTAAGTAAACTTGTCGAACGCAAACAATTCGGCCTGATTTGTTTTTTCCATGATTTCGTTTTCCAGGCCTAATCTACTGTGATCAAGAGCTATTATGGCTCTTAAATGTGATCGACCATGATTGCTATTTTTTGGGTGTATATATACCGGCTATCAATTCGATGTAAGATTTTTTTTCACTCTAAAATCACTTAGCCTTAGCTTTCCCTGAAAAGTCACATATGTGCCCTTAAGTTAACTGATTTGTGGATTATTTGAAGTTTATTGTTTGATTTGAATCATAAATTTATTAATGGGAGCTTCGCTTTTAACCCTGGCTAAATCTATATATTATCACTTTTCAAAGGACGCAATTGTACACATACAGTGGTAGGGTCTCGGTCCTTACCTGCTTCGTGAATAGATTGGTAATCCTCCGACTCAGGCATAGTAATTTGTGTAGTGGTGCACTCTTTAGAAAACTGCATTTGACCTCCTTGGGTAACACTGGACTGCCCAACACAAGACACTGATGGAGCACCACCATCCGCCATGATATGTCGAGCTGCATCCCCTTTGGGAAATGTCGAGGTTGTAGTTGATGCAAATGATGCAGCAGGGTTACAATGCCACGCTTGAGTAGGTGAAGAAAGAGGTAAAACCAGATTACATCAGCAGCATATGTTTACAATCATGCAAAGAATCAGAACCACATTACAGGAACGAAAAACTTAATGCTATCACTTTTTCAACAACTTGATAGCAAGGGATCATTCTCACGCTGAAGGTTAGGCTTGTTTCCATGTTGGAGCAACATGATTGATCCGTTTGAACGGGAATAAAGTTCAAACTCATTCTACATTTCTACAGCAGGTTGCATAACATTTGGCGAAAAGCTGCTCAGAAAACTACTTCGACTCTACCCTTCTGAGAACGCAAATTTTCGCAGCTTTTAATTGAAACTTTCTTTAACACTGTCTTCACGTATCCGTTTTTGTTTTACACAGATTTTTTTTCGCTATTTTGACGACTTTACGTCGTGCGTATTGGAATTGTACATGGCTGTTCCACACGCATCAGTTCTTTTTTCCAGATTTTGATCCCATCCTAAAATTCTCATCCACCTCTAGTATGCAAAGTCTTTTGGGCGACAAATGTTAACTACTAAGCAATTTCATCTTTGTTTAACCCACAACATTTGAAAACACGCTTTATGGTTTTCAGACGAAGTGTTGATTTTAAGAGTCTACGCGGAGTAGCATTGTCATGAAGAGAAACAATAATAATAATAATAATAATAATAGTAATAATAATAATATGCCCTGCAGGTGTGGGCATTAGAATAAGCCTGACGTAAAAGGCAAATAAACCCTGAAACACCATGAAATGCCAACCACCTTAGTCGTGCGAACGACCAAGGACTGCATCCCTTGGTGGTCTGTAGCATACAATCGGATAACCTCCCTGATAAAGAGACCACAGGCTCTGCTCAGGGAAGTAACGGTCCTGTGGATGACCAGAAGAATCAGGGTACAAAAGGAGTGAATGCAAGAGTTTCGCGGACGAGGAAAGTGAACAAGCTTGCGCTGGAATGCTACTTGAGAAGTGAACAATCTAGAAGAGGGTACAGGAAGCGTATGTTAAATATCTGGAGACATTATATTGGTGTATTTGAGTGTAGTGAGCGAAGGCTTCCCGACCAGGTGAGGGCAAGTTAACTACTTGCTTTCTGACCTAGAACTGTAAGAACTGAGGAGGAAAATTGATCGATGTGGTGCATCGAATGAGTAAATGACAGCAGTTATTCCAGAGAATCATGCAGACATTACAGATTACTACAGCTCTTTACAATTTGAGTTTGAAGATGCTCAACAAAGTGAGAATGAAAACAGAATTGCCGAATCTAACAGGTCAAAAATGCATATGGAAGGACTAGATGATTAGTACATCAGTCTGGCACTTGAAATACTGGAAGAATTTGAACAGGGGAGTAATACAAAACCATACAACTTGCGTAGGCTACACGGACGAAAAGTGAAGCAGAAAGTTCAGGAGGTAAATGTAGATAAGGTTTCGAGTCATATTACAACAAATGATATTACTGAAACAAACATTCTGAAAAGCGCAGCTGCGTTTGTTGTTGGGAGATCGTTGGGCGTAAAGAAAGGAAGAACAAAGGGCGCGCGGAAAGAACCCTCATGGAAACAAAGGCAAAAGAAACAGATTGATGAACTCAGAAAAGACATTAGCAGGCTGAATTGTATCTTAAGGAGGGAACCTATTAAGCGGAGAGTTCAAGTAACACTAGAACATAAGTATAAGACCAAGGGAAAGAGCTTCCAAGTTATCTTAGAAGAGTTAAAGCAAAGAGTTACTAAAAAAGCTGCAAAGAGAAGGCGATATGAAAATAGGGTAAAAAGGCAGAACAGCCTGTTTGACAGTGCAGTGATCAAAGGCGTTTGTTTGAGGAGCTTGACGGAAAAGTTAGAGGAAAAGACCCCGCACCAGGCGCCAATGAAAGTGTAACGTTTTGGAGCAGTGTATGGGGTGAAACCAAAGAAGACAACAAGGATGCTGATTGGTTATCACAGCAGAGGGAGCAACTCGTGGAGGTGGATAATCAGGCATCTATTTCAATCACCCCGTAAAACATACGAGTTTAGTTAAACAAAACGTCCAGCTGAAAAGCACCTGGTCCTGATGGGGTTCAAGGGCACTGGCTTAAAAACTTTACACCCCTAACAGGGAGAATTTACAAACAGCTTGATGGTTGCCTACAACAAAACAATGCACCACAATGGATGAATATGGAGAGAACAACACTAATCATGAAAGACAGGGACAAAGGTCCAATAGTTTCTTACTATAGACTAATAATCTGTCTGCCACTGCTTTGGAAAGTGTTCGCAGGAGTAATTGCCGATGAAATATACAGTCACCTGGAAAGATTGAACTTTTAACCACCCGAAAGAAAGATGTAAACGAAAATCCAGGGGAACAAAAGATCAACTACTTATTGATAAGGCATTCATAAAAAATTGCTAACGGAGACAGACAAATTTAAGTATGGCATGGATTGCCTATAACAAAGCGTTCGACATGATACCACACTCATGGATATTGGAACGTCTACAACTGTTTGGAATCGCAACGAATATCAGAAAATGTTGGAGATTAGTATGAATCATTGGACAACGGAATTACACTCAGGAGACCAAAGATTAGAGGAGGTAAACATCGGAAGAGGGATATTTCAAGGTGACTGTTTGTCCTCGTTACTGTTTATTATTGGCCTGATTCCTCTGTCAATATTGTTAAAACAAGTCAGTCAAAGCTTGGAGAAGGCACTATCATCAATCACGTACTGTACATGGATGACATTAAACTTTATGGAAAAAAAAGAATCTGAACTTGACCAGCTTGTTCAGACTGTGAGAATACTCAGTCAAGAGTTTGGGATATCAAAATGTGCACTTTTACTAATGAAAAGACGGAAATTTTGTCAGAGGGACGGAATAGGTCTGCCCAATGCTCAAGAAATAAGAGCTCTAGAGGAAGGAGAAACCTACAAGTATCTGGGGGTATTGGAAGCAGATGAAATGAAGCGTGAAGCAATAAAGGGGAACATTCACACTGAATACTTTACAAGGGTGCGAAGTATCCTGAAATCCAAATTATCAGGAGGAAATGTCATGAGGGCTACTAACTCGAGAGTGGTCTCCATCATCCGTTATGGAGTAGGGATTATCAACTGGACTAAGGAGGAACTGAGAAAGATGGATAGGAAGACTAGGAAGTTGCTGACAATCCATAATGCGATGCATCCACAAGCAGATGTGGATAGGTTATATATGAAAAGGGCGGAAGGCGGGAGAGGTTTAATAAGTCTGGAGGAATGTGTTGAACTGGAATGTGAAAGTCTTGCAAAGTACATCCACAAAGCAATGAGATTTTGCTTGCAGCTGTTAAACGCGAGGGCGTGCTAAAAGAGACAGCTGAAGAAACCTTGAAGGAAAATATCGAAAGGAAACTACAGGGCAGGTGATTATCAGGTAAAACAAACTACATGGACAGTTTGAAAGAGCTACTAAACAAGATCGAAGCGCAGACACTTGGCTTCGAAGCGCAGACACTTGGCTTTGGCTAAGAAAAGGCGTTCTGAAGAAAGAAACAGAAGGCCTCATAACGGCTGCCCAGGATTAGGCGTTGAGAACCAACAGTATAATAAAGAGAATTGACGGAGAGTATATACCCCCATTATGCAGAATGCGCCGAGAACGGGAAGAAACCGTTAGGCACATTGTGATAGAGTGCAACAAATTGGCTCAGAAAGAATACAAAGGCTGGAGAGACGATCAGGTTGGTAAATGTGTTCACTGGAGACTTTGTCAAAAGTTTGGTTTGGATTGCTCCCGAAACTGGCATGATCACGAGCCAAAGCCAGAGTAGGAATCAGAAGAATGCAAGTTACTATGGGATTTTCCTATTCAAACTGACCACAAAATTGAACACAACAGACCAGACATCGTAGTTGTAGACAGGAAGAAATAGAAAGGAGCTGCACAATAATAGATATCGCTTGCCCATTTGACCATCGAGTAAGTCTTAAAGAACAGGAAAAATCGAAAAAAACCAAGACTTAAAAAGAAAGCTGAAGCGTCTGTGGAATTAAAAAGAAGTTTAGTTGTAATTGTACCGATCGTCATTGGTTCCCCTTCGAAACAGTCAGTAAGAGATTTCATCTGTATCTAAAGAAAGCAGGACTCGATGGAAGTATTTAGCCATTACAAAAAACTTGTTTACTGGGAAGAGCAAGAATTATAAGAAAGGTGATGGATACCTAAGGTGACGGGAGGTCATCTGGTACCAGAGAATGATCTGGTTGGACAACCACGAAAACCCGTGCGAACTGACAATAATAATTATCATAATAATAATAATAATAATAATAATAATAATAATAATAGTAATAATAGTAATATTCCGAGTGAAAGTACCCGGGTGATTATTTTAAGTCGTCTTCTAGTATAATTAGTTTCAGCCTCCGCACGCCAACGCTTTTGTGGTCGTCACAACGTCAACTGGTTGGATTACAAACTTCATTGCTACGATTAAGCAAAATAATACAAAGCAATTTAAGACGCAAAGCACGCCACTTTTAGAGAACCCAGGTACAAATTATTAACAGAGAGTTATTTAAAAAAACTTGCCTTCATTCCTATCGTTTTCAAAACAGGGAGGTGTTTCAGTTTCCTGTAAGAGAAAACAAAGAGAATAACCAGAATTGAAATTTTACAATTTCTTTCTTAATTAAGTTCTTATTCAAAAGTTTGAAACAGTGTGAAATCACATGAGCCTCACTACAAACGCCAATCGTTTAAAAAATGTCGGTGATCAGTCACTATGGAAATAACATTTGAGCATTCATGAGTAATTACGGCGAGCAACGCTTCGGTAAACTGAAGTTCCATCTCAGGATGATTACCTTATGTGAACTGTTTATTAGAAAAAGAGAGGGATCCATACGATGGTTCAACTTACTCTTTTTTAGCAACTACTGCGATCTGCGTAGGGAAGCTGTAGCTTCGAGTGCAAAGTACAAATATGTCAGTTCAGGGCTCAACACCATCCACTGTCAAGGGCCGAGTCCTCCCATCTATTTTTAGTCAGTTTCCCTAGCCACAAACATTCCTCTTCTCCCAGTGTGTCACAACAATCTTTCTGCTGTGCCTTGGCAAGAGGGGTCTTAAGCTTTTTTCCTCCTATTTCGTCACCATCCTCTGTAGTAGCCCTTGGATTATGATGCTGTAAAGTCAGAGTTAAGTGTAGCTCTGAGGAATACTTTTCAGCATCTTTGATGATTGAGTGACACCCCGTCTGCACCGCCTTCTCTTCAAACTTCCTCAAGGCGCTCATGGTCGTATCTGGGTTCTCAAATAACTTTACAGCCGCTTTGATCTTTGTGCTTTTATACTCCGCTTCAACTGATCTAATGACTCTCCAACCGTTCTTTCTTGAAATGTAGAGTTGTGCTACCGATACCAGGGGGTGGTTCCCACCATTCTCCGCGATAACGTTACGCACTTCTCTATCCAACTGCTATAAGTCGGCAAGTCTGGGTCCACATGAAATACGTTAGAACTGGTAAAGCATACTGGTTCGACGCAGCAACTATGTGGTAGTCTGACATCGGGCTAGACCAGATAATGGACAGCCTTTATTATTATTATCCTAATTAAACACAGCTTCTGGATAACTTGCTTCTTTCTTAAACATCAAGTCGCCGCCCGTGACCTTACGTGTCCAAGACTTTGCGAAGAATTCTGGCTGTACCCAGTAAGCACGCTCTCTGCAATTATTCCAAACGACATGTGACACCAATCTCTGCTAACCACTTTTCTATGTCTTTCGAGACAGTTCCTAATGCACCAATTATGAATGGTACCACAGTTATTCTGCGCAATTTCCAGATCCGTTTTAACTCCCGCGTTAAGTCTTGATAGTTCTCAATTTCCTCTTTTTCTTTGTCTTTCACTCGGATATCAAATGGACAAGCAACATCAATGATCAGGAAATTGCGTTCTGTCTTATCCACTACCACAACATCAGGCTTGTTGTGTTCAATCTTGTTGTCAGTCTGTATTTTGAAGTCTGACAGCAGCTTGTTGTTTAGTAGATTCATACACTGGTTGTGGCTCATGATTGTAATATTTTTCATCCCTGTCAAAATCCAGCTTTCCAGCATTGTTCCCAATGCGCCACCTTGTCGTGCCTCCAACCTCAAGATTGCTTTTGAGCAAGTTTCTTGCATTCCGATACAATATGGCGAACAGTCTTATCGCCTTCTCCACAAATTATACACTTTGCAGACACATTTTGCTTGTCGATTATCCTCTTGATACTATTAGTTCTTAATGCTTGGTCTTGTGCTGCAATAATCGTACCCTCCGTCTCCTTCTTTAGTCTGCCTTTTTTCAGCCACTCCCACGTCTTTTTATCTCTTACTCTAAAACTGCTCATGAACTTGTTTCTCTTGGAGGCGCTCTTTTCTTTCTTGCTGTAATGATGCGGCTTAACAAGTTTAAGCACAACATCTCAGATTATTTTCCTTGTACTTTTCTCCTTGTATTTTCCCTATCCGGGCATCCGTCACAGTGAAGCATGTTGAATCAGTGGAAGGAGACATAGAAGGTAGGTGGGAGGGGGGACGCTAAAACAACCGCTCTTAACCGCTTCGCGCCCACGCAATCGCCACAAAAACCACTCAACTTGCTACTCCTGGCTGTGACGAAGCAACAACGTTCCATGTGAGTTGTGAGTTTGACCGATGACCGGCGGAGACTGCTATTCTAAAACAACGGCTACACAAACGCTCAACGACGAACTCGAAGATCCTAGCTGTGTACAAAGCTACCACGTACCATGTGAGCCTGCACTTATGGAATTGACCACTGAATGCCCGCTAAACTTAGGCTCGTGGAACGCTTCACCGCTAAGCTCGAGGACCACTTCACCGCTAAGCTCGTGAACCGCTTGACCACTAAGCTTGTAGACCGCTTAACTGCTAAGCTCGTGAACCGCTTGACCCGCTAAGCTCGTAGACCGCTTGACCGCTACGTTCGTGAACAACTGGACCGGTGAGCGAGTGAATGCAAAACCACAGTCGCTCCGTCTCGCGAAAACACCGCCGCCAAAGCTGTTGTCCCCCTTTCGAACCATGAAGTTGCAGACGAAACACCCAAGTAAAAAAAAACATCGCAGAACGCAGAGACGAACGTCCCGCCAAGATTGTCGGCCCAAATTACGAGGAAACAACGATTGCACAAAAGCCAAGCGTAGCCCAAGACAACGAAGAAAGAAACGGCTTGACTGAACAGCAAAACAGCGAGAATGAAACGGTAAAAGAATGATCCAAAGGCTAAACGACGAGAGTGGCCGCCAGGAAAACGTTGTACTGAGCACATGGAGGTGATGCAAGCAAGGCTGACTGCGCTTGAGCCAAACGACTGACCGCTGACCACGCCCTCGTTCCTTGTTGTTAACTGTGTTAAATAAATTTAACTTCATTTAATCCTCTTCCACCCTCTGATCTTTTAACGTAAAGCCTGTCAACATCAGCCTGCGGATGCAAAGCACGATGTAGAGTCATCAATTTGCAAGTACACGACACATGAGCCTGGCATACCTATCGGTGGACGAAAATACACCCAGAAACCACGGAACGGAGCGGCTACACCAAAGTATTTCATCGACGCGAGTGCTAGAGGGATTTTATAAAAGGCACTAGTAATGATAGTAGTGTGTTTCCACTGAGCGATTTAGCAAAGAGTGGTAACAACATGGGACATAAGTGACGGCTGAGGCTTGCTGTATCTTCCTACGTCAGCAAAGGCGGTGGCAAGGCGATAACCAACATTACTTTTGTTACAGGAGTAACGCACAAATGTACTCTAAAGCGAAGTTGCACTTGCAGAGCTCAGTTCCATACCGTTGTTTTACCAGTTATGGGAGGTCAGGAACGTAACCAAGTTACAATATAAATAAAGTTTTCTAAAGTAGGGGTTAATTCTTCATCTGCAGTGAGGAGCGCGTCATGGTGTTATATGCTGTTGCTGCAAAGGAGGTTATTCTCTGTACAAGCCACGAGTCTTTGGTAAAGGCCTCTGGGCTTTACTGTGTTTGAGTTGCACGCCAAAATCATTACGGAAATGTGCACTGGTGGCTCCCAAAGCGAAATGCAAGCGTATGGCTGACCATAAGAAGCCCATGAATGTTGCGCTCTGGACGATAACTTTTCCGGAAATAACTGGGCAGTAACTGCCTATTCGGCAAAGCACTTATTTAAGCACGCTCATCTTATGTGAGTGATACGACTGCGTGATTCAGCCGCAAGGTAGCCCCGTCTATGCGGAAATGGGTGTGCTGAGCGTCGAATGAGAGGGTAAACACTAGGTTTTAACACCAATTTTCAAGGGAACTTACGATCTCCGTCTTGGTGAGACATCACTGTTTCGGTGCTGTTCTTATCCACTGGCCGCTTTCGCTGCCTTATGGGTTCCATTCTACGTTAGTTGACGAGATTGTAGCGAGGCAAATTTCTTCACTTAAGAGACCTGTGTGGAATTCGTTGTAGCCTCTGCTGCTCCCACCCCAGTCAACAGATTTTTAACCCTTTTCCAAATACCTTAGGAACGGCGCGATCGAATTCTTTAGCAGATGCATCAAACTTTCATTAACATTGATTACATGGAAACGAATGACATGAAAACTTGCTTTAAGTTGAAGATACAACCGATGACACTCCGTCAAGTTCCATTCCTTCCTCTTCATAAGAATATCCATAGAGAGAGAAAGCAGAGGAACCATTACTAACTATTAAGTGGTTTAACCTAAATTCCGAGTCAGGCCGTACTAAAAATGCAGTAACCTTAAGTTTCTATATAAAACAGCAGGTGTACACTGCAACTGGTAAGTGACGTTTAAACTGCATTAAATTGACAAAAACGATACTGATCATCATACAGTAGACAGTGATTCCGCACCTGTGAAAGATCTTTATGAATTCCTGGTAGGTTGAGCATCTGTTCCGGCTCTGTGATAAATACAGAATAGCAGACGTCATTTACATGTAACTGCAAAACCAGCTTTTAACGCACAGCAGTTTATATGCATGGGTCGGCTGGTGAGAGTAACAATCATAGTCAAAAGAAGCCTGAATTTCAGACTCGAAGTATATCGTCTGAAATTCAGGTTAAGTCAAAAGTGTTAGGAAGAGGACTACTTTTTTCTCTCTCTCTTTTTCCCGGGCCCGCTGGCCCAATGTCCTACAAAACTCGAGTATTTTTTCCCGTAATGTTTATTTCTCGCAACCTTGAATTCAGGGAGGGGAGAGGAAGATATTTAGCAAAAGAGAAAATCATCTTTTTGAATATTAAAATGAACTGCTGAAGGTTGTAAAACCTTTGCAAAATACTTTTGTTCGAGATTGTAGTTTTGTGACAAAGAATTACGTTTACTCAAAAAGCGCCGTCCCTGAAGAAAGGTGCAACACCTATAAAAACAGCACAAAATGTTAACATGCGCAGCCGCGCAGCCATCAAGTTAAATATGCACCAGCACCTCCTGGAAACAACGCAGTGCTTTTCTTTGCTTTTTAACAATGCTGTGCGGATACGATAACAAGAAAAACGTCTAAAAAGCTTACAATATACATGTTGCACACAAAACGATAAAAAGAAATGTCCGTTCCATTGAAGAAGAAGATTCAGAAGTTTCAGGCTCAGATGATTACTTCCTTGGCTCAACTGAAAGCGACGAAAAATAAACAAAGTGGTCTGTTGAGTTGACACTGGGACACACGCCTGTTAAATTTAAAACTGACACCGGCGCGGATGTTACCTTACTTTCTGAAGAGATTTACAAACTTACTGGCTTGGAAAAGCTGCGAAAAGCTAAGAAAAAGCTATTTGGCCCTCGTGACCGGCGTTGTAACGGGAAACCTAAGGATCGGAAATGGCACGCAAACGCGACAAGATATTTAATGTGGTTGCAAATCTTAAAGAACCCCTGTTAGGAAAACCAGCAATTAAAGCCCTAAAACTAATCCTGACTTGTCCTACAATGGCATCGAAGCAGAAGCTAAAGCAAATCACCCAAGATTGTTTAAGGGACTGGGAGAATTAAAGGGAGAATTCCAGATTAAATTGAAACACAACAACCCGATTCGACTCCTTTTGCTTTAACAACACCTCGAAGAGTAACACTACTACCTCTGATGAGTAAAGTGAAAGCAGAATTAGAGCGTATGGAAAACCTGGGAGTCATTTCTAAAGTAGACATCCCCAACGACTGGTGTTCAGGCATGGTTGTCGTCCCCAAACCTGATGGCAAAATCCGCATGTGTTTAGACCTAAAAAAAACTCAATGACTCACGGCGTGTTAAGAGAAACCTATCCAATACCCAAGATTGAAAATACGCTGGCTCAAATGAAAGAATCCAAGTACTTCCCCAAATTGGACTGCAATTCGGGATTTTGACGACAGAAATTAGACCCAGACTCTGGTTTGCTAACCACATTTATCACACCCTTCGGAAGATTTTGTTTCAACCGAATGCCCTTTGGTATCAAGTCTGCTCCTGAACATTATCAGAAAAAGATCACTCAGATCCTGGAAGGATTGGATGGGCATATTTCTATCATAGATGACATGCTTATCCATGGAAAAACACTAAAAGAACATGACGAAAGAGTGCGAGCAGTACTCAAAAAGCTTGATGAAGCAGGTACAACCCTTAGCCCGGAGAATTGCGAATGTTCCAAGAGAAAAGTCAAATTTGCAGGACACGTGATCAGCGAAGACGGCATAAAGACAGACCCTGAGAATGTAGAGTCCGTTCAAGGAACGGCCACACCCTAAAATGTTAGTAACCTACAGCGATTTCTCGGAATGGTCAATCAACTTGGGAGATTCATTCCCCACCTGACAGAGAAAACAAAACCACTCGGAGATCTCCTTAGTAAGAAAAACCACAATTTGTGACTTTAGAACTTGGGTCAGTTGGAGGAATAACGTTGATATGTTGTGCTCGACCTCCTTTTCCCTTTCCCCTCAATGTTAATTGGCCTCGAAATGGACAAGTCTACCAAAAAAACATTTCAAAACAACATTGGAAGAGAGAAAGACATGTATCAGAGCAGTGTGACCCAAGTTGAGTGTCATAGATTGCAGTTTCACTGGGGACAAGCACAACAAGAATATTTCAATAAACTCAAGGATGAGCTTAGCTCAACACCCGACCTCGCTCATTAAGATCCTCAAAACGTCACCATGTTATCAGCTAATGCATCATCATGAGGCCTTGGCGCTATACTTG